AATCTTTTGTAATTACATGGTTTTATATTTATTTTTAAAGGTTTATTTATTTATGCGTTCAAGAGCTGGGGTGTAGGCCAGAGGTATGGCGGGGGGGGAGGTGAGAGGATTCACCAGAGACAGAGTGGGGAGCAGAACAGGCAGATCTACTGAAATACGCTGCTGAGGGGAGCAGCAGGTGAGTGAGGAGAGGTCTGCTGCACCATGTGGGTCACCTCCCTAGCCAGGGATTGAACTCATGCTGCAGTAGCTGCGGATAGCTTCATAATGCTGAAGCTTAACTCCTTGCGCCACCAGGGAGGCCCTGGTTTTATATTTAAAAGGTGTTAACAGTAAACGTTTTAATGCCAAATCTCATTAAAAACTTAAAAATTGAGAAAGCTGGCAAACTACACAACTTTAACATTTTCAGAATTCTATTTAGATACCATAACTTGAAAGATTTCCTGGAGCCATAGGGCCTTTGATAATGCAACCCTAAAGTATTTGCAAAAATTAATTCACATTAATGAACTCAGAAATACTTCTTCTCAAATCCAGTATAAGTCAGAGTTACATTACAACACATTTATATAATCAATTCAGAAAACTGAACAAAAATTAGAATTCAGTTGGCTGAATATGGGTTACCTATAATTAAGTCTATAAATGTAAATATAATTCAATTATGATTATGGAAAATAAAAATTACAATCATATACCTTATTCTATTTAATATATGTTATCAAGAATTAAGGACAAATTTATAAAATTCCTTTATATTATTAAGGCACTGGCTTTGTCACTCTATATTCTAAACCACTAACAAAGGTAAATAGCCTCATTAAATTTACTACCAAGTAGGATTTTTGTTTGAGAGTATCTCTTTAGAAATGCATACAGCTCAAATTACAAAGATCCGCTATATCTCAATCATATATAGTGTTGTAAACCAATGTTTCTCTAATAAAAAAATAGAAAAAAAAACCCAAAAATTATCAAAAAAGGATAATGTTAAATTTCAGGTTGTATCTTGAAATTTAAACACATCTATTATAAAGAAAAACACTATTATCATGCTAATAAATAATTATAGTTTGAAGTAAAAATGCTCTCAGTAACACTTTCATATTATAAAGCAAAGTTAATCTATTGTTACAGTACCATGAAAACATGTTATTATGCAAATAAATTCATTAAAACGACTTATACCACAGTCCTGTTTTAGTATATGCTGACATTATGAATATCAAAACGCAGGAGAGAAAGTTTTGCTCAATTATGCTAAAATGCAAAACAAAAAAGAGCTGTACACAAAGTTCTTCTGCCCATTCCCCAGTGTTTCATAGGCAAGTTAAAAGACTGCTTAGTAATTAACAGCCAATTGTATCCACATCTCTTGTCCAAGAGTATCCTCATGCAGTTGTCTCTGCAACAAGAAGCTCTTTTATTTCCAAAATGTTTATGATTTCTCTCCAATTCTGATACTTTTTCAAACATAAGAAAAATATATTTGTAGTATACAAAGTTATGCAGAGTGGGGAAAAAACTCATCTTTTATAATAGCTTGATATTGCCTTAAAATAGCACCATTTCTATCAATGTTGTTTAAGGTGTTGAAAAGCTACGGAAAGTATATTCAAGATTAGATGCATGTATATAAAAAGAAAAGTCTTTAAAAAGATTCTTTAAAAGTCTTTAAAAATCTTTAAAAAGATTCTTTTTAAAAGTGCAGAAAATTTTATTAATGTGTTTCTCTGGTTCTCGGAGGGTTTCCTAAGGTCAATGCTAATCGCTGCCTAATCATAAATGTATGGAGGCATTAAAAACTTTTCTAAATCAATTAAAACTCATCTAATGTGAACCTTATCACATTAAGGTTATTAATTGATTTGTGCTGAATTAGCAGTTAGCTGTTGTACCTATTATTCTGATCATTGAGGAGAAAAGAATTAGAAGAATTAAGAAAATTCACGATGAGAAACAAATCTCCTAGTATGAGTCCTAATCATTTAACAAAATATTTATTGAGGAACAGCTATATGCCAATTGTAAAGATGAAAAATAGCTTAAGAGAAGTTTTTGTTCAAAGATTTGACAAAAATGGGTTATCTGAAACATTAAAAAATGATTCTAGAAAAGAATGCGTGGATTATATAAATAGAAGAACTACATGTTTATAAATATGTAAAGGAAAAGAGAACTTCCAAAGTAATTAAAAAGGAGTGTATCTTAGCACAATGGCAACTTGAGATTGAAGAATGTAATTTTATTGAAATAGGGACATTCCCAGAATAAAAGCAGCAGAATATAGCATATGTTTAGGGGGCAAGGTCCACCACAAAGAGGGTAACACTGACTTTCTCTGAAAGTAGAGGTACCAGGTTGGAAAGTAAAATGACAATAGGCAAGAAATCCCTTACGGTTTCCAATCTAATTGGTAACTGACTATATTAATATTATCACTGTAATCTTGGAATGCTTTAGGACTATTCATTAAGTGGCCTAAAGTTTTCAAAAAAGAAGTCTGGTACCAAAACTTGAAGCCTAAAAGTTGGACAAAATTTGGAAAGTTCTCCTTCCTCCACTCTACCAGAAAGGACAAAAATAACACCTGCAGAAAACTTTAGACTCTTTTCAATGGAAAAGATAGCTACTGCCTTGAATCTGCACAATAAACCTTACTTTTGCTAAATTCTTCTTTGTGACACACAACTGACCTTTCCTAAACAACTTTCTGTCTTTAGCTAAAGACAGTATTTAACCTGGAGCCTAACTTTGAGAGTTACTCATTTCTCAATGGGTAGCTCTCATGTATAATTAGGTACACATGTTAATAAACCTTTTCTTGATTCTAACCTTTACTTTGCTATAGGGGTTCCAGATAAGAACACGAAAGAATAAAAGGCAATTTTTTTTTCTTTTCCTAACATGTTAAACATTTCATAAGAATGTTTATTAATTTTCCATATGCTTTAATAATGAGCAATGCTGGGCCTCCCTGGTGGCGCAGCGGTTGAGCGCTGGGTTGCGAAGCTGCCGGTGACCTCTGCGGCGCCGGTTCGATTCCTGGCTGCTCCCTGGCCACCAGAGGAGGGTCCCGCATGGCGCGCAGACCTCTCCTGCCGCCCGCTGCTCCCCTCAGCAGTGTACTTCGGTCCTTCTGCCTGCTCTGCTCCCTGCTCTGGCTCTGGTGAATTCTCTCACCCTCCCGCGCTTCTGACTGTACCCAGTGCATGTACAAACAAAACAAACAAATAAATAAATAAATAAATAAAACATGCCTCTATTAAAAAAAAAAAAAAAAATAATGAGCAATGCTTACTGTATTTTGCCTAAGGAATATTCTTTTAGAGAAATATTAAGAGACAGTAAAAATTGAGACTTCGTAAATTACACTTGTGTCATTAACACAAAGACTAGATATCTATACCAGGCACATCCTGATGTAATAGGATGCCATCAGTGACAGACACAGATTAAAAAAGCATGCTGTCAGGCATTTATATCCTACTGGGGTCATGACAAACGAGAGACAAAAAATAAGACAAAATATACTCTGTATTATAAGGTGATTAAGTGGCACAGAGGAAAAAAACAGAAAACAGAGTTAGTAACTTTAGGGAGTTGGGAAGGGCTACACTTTTAATAGGATGGTCGGGAAAGGCCTCATTGAGAAGATTACATTTGTGTAAAGACTTAAGGTAGAGGAATAATTTATTAAGTAATAATTCCAGTTACTTTTATAATAGTTTTCTAACTTTTTTTAAATAGTGAGATTTCAAGAGTATATATGTACAACATAAAACCATGTCAGAATTACTATGGCAGCTGATTATTTAGACACCAACTTTGGCTCCATACCCTTGTAATCTTAAAATGATCACTGAAATGAGACTAACATAATATGTAGCAAGCCCTAAAACCCCAGGAACATGTAATGAATAAAGTGAATTATATCCCTATAGGTCACAGTTCCTCAAAGAGTATCACAAAACAGGAAGAAATAATTGTTAAAATTAAAGTTAGCTAACGACCTGTAAGCAACAAAGAATAAATTCATAAGCTTACACTATATATTTAGAGAATTTATATTTTCTATATAATTTTATTTCATTCAGAACTATAATTTTAGGATAAAAAGTTATTACAGAAATGACTGGTACTGTGGTTATGATTTTTAAGAATGCATTATTTTTAGGGATATTTACAGAATATGAAGTGATATTGGGTATTTAACTGAAATGAATCTAACAGCAGGTAGAAAGAAGTGAGAATAAATGAAACTAATTTGGAATTCAATTTAGTGATGGGTTTATGAGGGATGCTGACATTTTATTATCGTAAATTCTGTATATTTTCTAAAATGGGAAAAGTACATTTTTTAGTTATTAACCTAATATTAAGCCTGAAAAACTGCATTTTTAAAAGTTGATCTATCACAGTATTTCCCATCTCTCAAAGGGAAAAAGGTGACAACTGCATGTTACTTTTAATTTGTGGTAAATTGTTCTGAGCAGTCCATACAATGACTATGAGGGTTGTCAATGATGTTTCAATTAATTCTTTTTTAAGAAAATGAAATTTACCATTAATGGGATACTGACTACAAACTGTCCCTATTTCCTTTTGTGGCATTATATATTATTGTGCTAACAGTATACAAAGGTGAAAAAATAGTTAATATATATTTAATGTAGTAAGTGCAGTGACTTTTAAATCAACATTAGAGCAGCTATCACCCTTCTAAAAATCAAGACATTTTCCCTATTTTTGTAGATGATTTTTTGCCTAGTATAAACTAGTTTATTGACCTTTGGAAAGATGATTTTGCACATACAAACGTTTTCTGAAAAAAATCAACACTGTATAAATGTGTATGTGTGTATGAACATGAGGAAGTAAATGAGAAGAACATACTTAGATTTAGAAATAGAACCCTTTCTTACTAAATATTAAGCATAACATCTTATTTTCTTATAAGCAAGATTAAATTTCAGAATGTTGTTGTTTGCACTTACCACTTGTCCATTGTGCGGGTTTTTATGAGCATATGGAGGCCCACGGATATGATTCCACATCTGGCCAGAAGTCATAGCAAAGACTATACACTGAAATAGAGCACAATGTTTTACTATGTAAAGCAGAGAATAGCAGAATATTGTATTTTAAGAAAATATTTGACTGTTTTTAAAAATCACAACTCATCCATTAAAATATCCACTTATAAATTATGGAACATTGGGTAAATTACTTAATCTACCAGCTTCTCAAGTTTGATATTTATAAAATGATACAAACTATGCTGAGCATATAAGTTAATGAGTAAACTGGATAATGTATATAAAGTATCTGGCATGATAACAAACTTATGCTAAGAAAAAGGCATAGATCTTTAGGCATAGTATTTTAGATTAATCCAGGTATAACTAAGATTGTGTATCTTTTATATCTATGAAAGAAGCCATATTTGGAAAACTAATCTTTAAGACCCAATTTAATAGAGGGAGGGCATGTATCTTCCTGACCATTACCTGCAAAACCATCCGCAGGGTTAATGTCATGTCCTTGAAAATGTTGTATCAGAGTATCAGAGTATGTGTATATATGGCTTTAGCGGATATAATAAAACACATTTCTCACAAGATTGGGTCAAATTTACATTAACTAGAAGTGTGTGTTTTCTAGTTGATTTACATTCTCACCAACAGCTGGTATCTTGTGTATCCTTGTACATTTGGCTATTCTGGTTGTGGTGTAGTAGGTCATATTTGCAATTCATAGTGATGAAAAAGTGTTCAACTTCAATATGTTTAGTAAAATTTGTATTTTTTAAAAACACCCAGCAAGACTTTGATCCCCCTCACACACTTTAAAATCCAGTTATTTGTCTTTTGCTTGTTTCATAAAAAGTTCCTTATATTTTTGGATACAAGTCCTTTCTTAAATACGTGCATGGCAAATAATCTAAACTTGCATTTAGTCTTCCATTTCATTTTCTTAATGGTGTCTTTTGGCCTTTTATATTTTAGAATCAGTTACTCTTGTTTCATAAATTTTTCTACCTACTGAAAGAGTGTGCCAATGAGTATAAATTCTTAAAAATGTCTGACAGAATTGGTCACTTTCTTTGCTACGTGAAACTGTTAACAAATAGATTTAGAATATACTGACCCTTTCCTCATGCTAGTTTGATTTATTGCTTTAAAGTTGTTCAATTTATTTGATATTGTCAAATTTATTAGGAATGTTTGATCCTCTTACTCTAATTAGAGTGTGTAGTAACTGAGTCATAGCTAGATTACGGCCCTAATAAGGCTCAATCCACCCCGACTCCTCTTGGCTATAGATAATTTCAAAGAACACAGTGGGTCCCAAATTAAATTTTCTTATGCACAAGATTACAAAGTACAGTTTTTCAGATACATTAGCATTTCTTTCTGAAAATACACTATAAATTATATATTTCTTTCATAATTCTTGAAGTTAGAAAACAGTATAGTTGAATATTTGACTCAACCATTCCACTTTAAATACATGATACAGCAGATAATGTGTATGCTTACTGGTCATCATGCTCCATATTTAGGTGGAAAGGAAAGTGGAATGCAGCCAGAACCAATGCATAGCAATCAGCCCCATAAAAAATCATTAGCACCTATTAATGCAGTAAAACCAGCATTTCCCTTTTAAAGAGTGAGACCAAGAAGAACTTAGGAGTACTCCTATACATACTGTCTTTTTTTACTAAGTAAAAAGGAAATTTTAATATCTACATGTTTTAATATTTGTGTATCTTCCCCTATGTCAGGAAATGGCAGGCTTTCTGTCTTTATCCTACATCCTAAAGCATTATGAATAATTTCCTATCCTCGGGATATGCTTCATTCTTATCCTACCTGAGAGTCAAATACACAAATATATGATGGGGGGGGGGGAAATCAGCCACGTCTACAGAGACATAAGGATGCATAACTCCTATGGGATATATGTTTGCATAAATTCATGATAAAAAGATACATATGTTAATTGTATATATACTTGCTCTTTACTAAGAAGTAAGCATATGGTTAGAATCTTCACCAAGGTGTTTTTCTTGTTATCCTCCCTTTGTATACAATTTTTTGTGTAACAGAAATGGTCTGTTGTGTAGTTCATTACATTATTTGGGGGAGGGTGTCTTTCTTCTTACTCTGCAATTAAGGTTTTAAAGTTTCCATAAATTAGATGACAATATTCTGCCAAAAATATTTTATGATATATTCTCAGTTCAAAAGAAAATGGGATACTGAATATTTAAAATAAAGAAATTCTTGATCATAAACTATTAATTTTCTTAGGCTATCTCAAGAATAGGAGTTTGGAAATGAACGAACCCAGTTTTTCATTTAAAAAGAGTGTTTTTTAAACAAAGAATCAAGTTTGGTAGTGGTAGTTATCAAGCAGAAAATAACACATAAGATTTATATATTTGACATTTATCTTTAAATTTAGTTTCTCTCAGATATCAACATATATAAAGAAAAAATACCACAAGTTTGTGTATCTCTATTTTAATGAGCAGAGCATAGAGAAGGAGAAAATGTTTCAAAAGGTTTTTTTTTTTTTTTTTTTAATTTCAACATTTTTTCCATCATAGTAGCTTTAAAACATACTGTTTGAAAACATGTCTGTTCTCTGCAGGTCTGTTGCTGACTTCTAAAAGGTTGCCATTAGGGAGCGGGCATATCTGCCAAGATTTCCTTTTCAAGTATGTGTTTGTAAATGCTAGAATATCTTCTGCTAAGCTAAATTAATTAGCTTTCAATGATTCAAAGTAGAAAAAAAATCTGCTTGATGAGAGGGTACAAGAAAATTGATCCACTGATGTGTTTAACATTTATGCACCATGTAAACAATCTTAGGCATTTATTTGCAGCTATAATGGCTCACTGTATCTTCTGGATTAAAGTTTCAACACATGAGATATGTTCCCAGATTTAATAGTCTGTCATTGTGCAAAAAATAAGTCAGAAACATGTGGGATCAAATTCCAGCTTATTTTCTAGCGATCTTCTACAAATGTAGTTCACAGGATATTAGTTCCCTTGTTCGTAAAATGCTGATAATACAAATTATTTTGCAAAGTTAATATTAGGTATAAGTGGGCCTCCCTGGTAGTGCAGGGTTAAGTCTCCACTATCAGCACTGCAGCCTGAGAGCTAACCCACATGGCACAGCAGACCTCTCCTGTATTACCTGCTGCTCCCTTCAGCAGTGTATTTTAGGAGATCCATCTGTTAGCCTCCCAGCCCCGGTTCTTATTTGCATAAATAAGTAAAAATTAAGAATTTTTTAAAAATTAGGCGTAACTATATAAACATACTCCAAAGAAGGAACACAGTAACTGGTAATGAGTATTACAGGCTTACAATAATAATTCCGGGGCTTTTTTTCTTTTTCTTTTTTTTTTTTTTTTTGCATACAAGAGAAAGGGGTGGGGGGCAGTAGGAAGCAGACTGACTGAAATACACTGCTGAGCGGAGCAACGGGTGAGATAGGAGAGGTCTGCTGTGCCATATGGGTCACCTCCCTGGCTGGGGATGGAACTCCTACAGTGGCTGCACTTAGCTTCATAGTGCTGTGTCTTAACCTCTTGAGCCACCAGGGAGGCCCCAATTCTGGGGCTTTTCTAAAGGAGAGAGAATAAAATCTTAATGTCATATCAGTTTAATTCCAAGCAGGTATTACAATTGTTTTGTAGACTGAACCAGTGACAAGATTTGTCATGATATTGATATATGAATTCTAAATTAGTTTTAACTTTCCAATAATACTTTGAATGAAACACTATATTTTTGCCAAAAAAACTTGGGTACATTTACTGAATGAAGCAACTTGTAAACTAACCTAAGGAATATGCAAAAACACTTTCAAACTTAATGACTAAGGTGACTGAGATAACCCATATTATCCAATTATATTAAATATAGTATAATTAACTATTTTAACTTCATTATCAAAAGAAAATACTAAGATACTCTCATAAAAATACCCTTATCTCCCTGTGTATTTATTTATTTTTTTTTTTTTTTAGGGTTTTTTTTTTTTTTTTTTTTTTTTATTTTTTTTTTATAGAGGCATGCTTTATTTATTTGTTTGCTGGTTTGTTTGTTTGTTTTGTTTATACAAGCACTGGGTACAGTCAGAAGCGCGGGAGGGCGAGAGAATTCACCAGAGCCAGAGCGGGGAGCAGAGCAGGCAGAAGGACCGAAGTACACTGCTGAGGGGAGCAGCGGGCGGCAGGAGAGGTCTGCGCGCCATGTGGGACCCTCCTCTGGTGGCCGGGGAGCAGCCGGGGATCGAACCGGCGCCGCAGAGGCCGCGCGCAGCTTCGCAACCCAGCGCTCAACCGCTGCGCCACCGGGGAGGCCCTCCCTGTGTATTTACCGGAATCTTGCAGACATTTTCTTTAAGCTAAATTCTGGCTAATATTGCAGAAGATAGATGCTTGGGCTCTTAGTCTATCTTGTTATAGCCAACTCAGACATAAAGACCAGTAATTCTTTGTTGAACAGAAAAATGGAAGAATACAGAGGTACTACAAGAAGGCAAAAGAAACTGACAATTTGATACATGTATGTTAGTATTACACTTAAATCTATCAAAAGTAGTATAAAATTTTTAAATGTATGTGTCTACTTGAATTCAGAAAAATTGGTCAACTACAGTGTTATTGGTTCTCCATGAATTGTGAATTTTCCATGTAAATAACATATCATGGGCAAAACTTAACAAAATAATGTCTCTTTCTGTAAAGGAAAACTTTTAATTTCCCGGTTTCTTTTCTGTTCTTATTTTATGACTAAAACCATAACATAAAAACTGGTAAAATGATTAATAACAATGGGTCACCACAGTTGTCATTATTAAGGTATTTGCTAGAGATTTTGATACCTTACCTGTTTAAAAAAGTTCACTTGCATTTAGTTTGCCAGCTTCCTTAAATCATAAACTTGAACTAATTCTAATGACATATAATAATAGTACCAATGCCACTATTTCTCCTTTAAGCCATTAATGTGATAGTTTTCAATTAATTTATACTTTCCCTAATGCTGAGCCATTCCTACAACCAGGCATGCTATTTTATATAAGGATGAATTGGGTTAGAAATACTTAAAAAATATTCTGTTCATAAGCAAGGTACATGTAACCTCATCCTATTTTCTAGCCATCTCTTCTCAAAATTCTCATATTTGGCAGAGTTAACAAAATAGTAAACATTAGGTCTAAGTGATTTTTATAATTTGAATATTCATCTGGTTAAGTTTCTTTATCTGTAGGGATATAGTGCTCTCATTTGCAAAGCATTTTCTTATTTGGGTATGTGCTAGATCTATTTTCACTTTTCTTTGTTGACTGCTCATTTGACTAATACTGTATAGATAAGTTATGTCAGCTAATTTTCACATCTGTCAAACTGTACTTAGCATCTGATTATTGTCTTTTCCCATGTTAACTAAGTTTTTGTGGTTCTTTACTATCAGAATTACTTGCATTCTATTTTTAATAATACATTATGAGACTCTAGGTCTTTTTGAAATCCTATGGGGAAAGTTTACACTTTTATTTTAGCAGACACCAACCTCATTAGGTACAGGCTGTGATTCCCAATTCATTTTAGATGTGTGGTTTGAATATCAATTAAATTTTCAAAGGCTGAAAATTATTCAGACTGTTATTCAGATCTGTTCCTTATGTGTGTCACCCACTGATTCATCTGGGAAGTAGGCAGGATTCTGCCCTTTAGCTCAATTATCAATAGCTTTAGAATGCTAATTAGAATTAAGCCCACATATGTGCAGGTAAGGGGTGAGCTTGGGAGTTTAAGAACAGCTTTAGGGGCTCACTTTCCAGGGTTACCTATTCTTGAGCTTCTCCCTAGTACTTTCTGGTTTCTCAGAGATTCTATTGCTTTTTTCCTCTTGCTTGAAAATGTCTACTTTTACAATGGCATAGAAGCAGGCAGGGGACCAAACAAACTACAACAACAACAAAAAAATCCAATAATGTGTGCCTCCTCTCCCTAGGGACACAGCTCTGGCTATCAGAGGAAGGTTCCCTTCTCTAAGTCTTAGATTTTATAGTTTCCCCTCAGCTGCCACAGGATTGCCTGAGAACTGCTGTTCACTTCCACATTTCAAGCTACAATGGATTTAAGTCAAGAAAAACCAAGAGTAAATAAAAATATTAACTATCCACATCTTCTAATTAGATGTCATTTTGAATGCTGGTATTCTTAACTGATCCACTACCTATTGACATGTTACTAAAGAGTAAATCAAATACCTGAATCTTGCTCCAGGTTGTGTCATTACAAGAGAAAGTTTGGCATTTGTTTACGCTATCTCACCTAGAAACAGTTTATTTTTTAAAACCATATTTTCTGTCTTCTGTAGTAGAGTAGCAATGATTTTTTTAAATATTCTAAATACATATTTTCAAATCGTTTCAATTGGACTGTTTTTCCTAAAGAAGTCCAATTTACCTTTTTCTCCCCCATGGTCAGATTTTGTGTTGTTTCAGAAGAAAAACAATTTGAGTAATTTTTATGCGATGTATTCAATTGTTTTAATACCAACTGTTGAAGCTATTCTCATCGAAATACTTCAAAACATCTTTATTCAAAATCAAGCTGACCATACACACACATATATATCTATAGATGCATCAATTTCTGGATTCTTTCATTCCATTAATCTGTGGTCTATCTTTAGGTCAATCCTCAATATTTGTTAACTATAATGCCTGTAGTAAGTCTTAAAATTAGGTCTTCAACTTAGAAAAAGAACTTATTTGGTAGTCCAAATATTTGTCTTTCAACATAAAGTTTAAGATTAACATTCTGGCATAATGCTTTCAAGGCATTTACATATTTTCTTGTTTTTTCGTTTTCTTTGAAGTGTCTCTTTCCAGCACATTATGCATTTTTATCCAACCTGACAATTTTAGTCCTGCAACCCTGGTGTTAAATCTGTTTAATGTACGTAAGAATACTGATAGAATTGTACTTGGGGGCTATCATTTTTTTTTTTTTAATTTGCATTGGACTTATACACACTTTACTCCTCTGCTTTTTTTGGTGTTACTCATTTTTCATATTTCATCTTAATCACATACACTGAGTTTCCAGTTGTTCCTTTGGAGATTACAACACATATTTCAAACTCATCCCAATTAACTATTAACTTTAGGCAAATTATTGGGAGAATTCAACAGCAAAGCGCAATTGATCCTTTATATATGCTATTGGCCTCATATACACTATAAACTGTCAATTTAAAGCTATTAATCCCTTTACATCAGGAAAACTTTTCATTTCCCTGTAGAATTTATCTTAATTGCAATATAACAATCAAATATCAAACATAATTTCTGAATACATTTTACTCATATTTTTTTCATTTTCCCTATTAGCTAATCATGCTAAAATTTAGCACAATCATAATGAAGGAAAAGAAAAATCCATTCAGTACAAATTGAAATAGGATCATGTTCGCCTAGACTCATCTGATAGACTCCTAACCAGTTTTCCTGCTCTCAGAATGATTATTCTAAAACCTAAATTTGATCATATTTCTCTCCTGAATATTTAAATTGCTTCCCATTGTCCTGGAATAAAACCTATATACCTAGGCATTACATATATCGATTACCTGTCCTTAACAACTCTGGATTTTCCATTTACTCTTAAAATTCAGTTCATGTCACACACTATGGGAAACCTATCACAACTACCTTACTCTAGGTTAGGTGTCCTTCCTATAATACTCTGTGCTTACATCCATCACAGCATGTGTAACATTACACTGTAATTGTCTTTTGGTTAGTTTGCATTCCCACAGTAAATTGCTTGCTGGCAGGGTCTCTGCCTTATCTTTAAATCTCTAGTACCTAACAAGTATCAGGCACACAGTTGAGATGCAAGGAGCAGATGGTCTATGAGTACCTTTCTCAACTTGCAGGTGTGGGCCAGTGATGCAATGGATAACACATCTGACAACGGATAAAATGATTCTAAATCGCTTCCATTTTTAAGAGACTGCAAGATACCAATTCTTACTCTATTTCCATTTAACATATATTAATATGTATAACATGTCAAATGCACAGGGACACTACATTTAACAGTGAAAAGTAAAAGACAACACAGGTTAGACTGTGAAAGTGAACTTAAATTGTATCACATACACCATAGAAAGTTAACTTCTCTCATTTAGACATGATTCCCACTATTGTAATAATCTGTTTGACTTTGTCAGTATAAATTTTATATTATACAAAAGTGGAAGAAAGTACAATGTGATTACATACCAGAGACACCATGGCCCAACCAGTTTTGTTATAGATGAACTCCAAATTGTTCCTTCTTAAGTAAAGCAAGCCACCAACAAGTGACACTAACAGGGCCAAAGCAATGGTACCAGAGTAGTTGGGTGGTCTGAAGACACGGATCTGCAAGAAGCAATGAACATTTTTAAAGTTAAAAAAACAACTTCTCTTAATTTCTTTTCTTGACCATATCCTAATACTTCCAATTTTCAACACAAATAATTCAGAAAGGTTTTTTTATGCCCAGAGCTAACATTCCTTTTAGAATCTTTATGACTGAAAAAAAGGCAAATACAGCGAAACATCACTATATTCAAATCAGAGCTGCTTTGGTTAACCAAGGAGACATGAGATTATCTAGAAGTGAGGGGGTATAATATTTATATAGTGCCAAATCAACAATAAATGTTAAATCTAGAGGAAAATTTTGTGCAGGTATGGATTATTTGCATGATCTTTGAAATGTTTCTCCACATAACTAATTAAAAAAAAAAAAGAAAAACAATGAGAGAAAGGACATCATGTATGTATAAATGTGATTCAAACAACCCCTTTGCAGTGTTGTGGTTTAGAATACATAAGCACAAGCCAATCATGAACAAACATCAGGCAAATCAAATGAGGATCATGTAATTAAGAAGTGGGAAAAGATTATATTGTTCAAAATGTCAATGACTTCAAAGGACAAAAAGACATAACCAAATGTAATACCTAACTCTAGACTGAATCTTATACAGAAAATGGGAAAAATGTTACTTATTAAAGGATATTCTTAGGTAAAATGACAAAACAGGAATTTGGATAGCTCAAATAAAAGTACTGTCAGCATAGTTATCAACTTTACAGATTTATACTATCTTATGTATTTTTTAGAAATACATAAGGAATTCACCCTCAAATGGCTCAGAATAAAATTGTATGTGTGAGTACATTCTGAGGCGAGAATGAAATTTATCAAAGCAAAGTTAAGTGAATCAAATTAAGTGAATCAAATTTATCAAAGCAAAATTAAGTGAATCTTAATAAAGGATATATACTGGTACTATTTCACTTGTTTGCATTTGTGAAACTTTTAAAGAAACAGAATCATTTCTGACTAAAATTCAATATTTCTTAGTAGTATTCAAAATTATCCTTACTACCCTTTATCAACTAAATGATAACACTGTAGAGGCAAATAGTTCCCAAAACAATTTTTAAAAAAATGAGTTGGGGGCCTCCCCAGTGGCGCAGCGGTTGAGCACCGGGTTGTGAAACTGCCCGCAGCCTCTGCAGCGCCGGTTCAATCCCCGGCTGCTCCCTGGCCACCAGAGAAGGGTCCCACATGGCACACAGACCTCTCCTGCCACCCGCTGCTCCCCTCAGCAGTGTACTTCGGTCCTTCTGCCTGTTCTGCTCCCTGCTCTGGCTCTGGTGAATTTTCTCACCCTTCCGCGCTTCTGACTGTACCCAGTGCTTGTATAAATAATAAATAAATCTTTACAGAAATTTCCCAACTCATTTTTTTTAAACACCAAAATATCAGTAAAACATCATACTATGAGAGATATTCATCTTAAGATAATTTTGTTTACACCTATGTTAAAAATAAATACTTCTATAGTAAATGTATTTTTAGGTAATACCTGGTTTTAATGGTTCACTGTAGAAAATTCCAAGATTGGGTGACAAAGTAGACATAGTCACAGACATAGATTGTTGACGTAGCTATACTCATATTGATACTATATTTTTCTTTTTAAAGACATAATTATTTATGCATCCAAGAGCTGAAGTAAAGGCCAGAGATGTCGGGGGTGAGAGGATTCAACAGAGACAGAGAGGGGAACAGAACAGGCAGATCCACTGAAATACACTGCTGAGGGGAGCAGTTGGCAAGACAGCAGAGGTCTGCTGCGCCATGGAGTCACCTCCCTGGCTTGGGATAGCTTCATAGTACTATTTTGTAATCCCTTGTATCACCAAGGAGGCCCTATAAGTATTTTTCTAACATACATTATAATTTCTTATTTTTCGAGATTCTATATTCTTGAAAACTCATTTATACTATAGCACATTTAATTAACTTTTCTAGACATAAGATTTGCTTCCAATTTTTCCATTAAAATGAATGTTATTTAAAAAGAATTAAATCAAGTTATATAAAATAGACATGACACATACTATATAGAATAATTCTAGAGTTCCAAGAATAGTTGTATGTATTTGCCCATGTCGATAATGAAAAGTGATATTGTTCTGCTTTTATTTGTCCGAAAGAACTACTTTGTGCCTAATTCTGCCTAAACCATTTTTAATGGTTCTTAAATATCTATGCACATATGGAAGCTCTATGTTTAGTAGGTCCAGAAATCTCCCACTAAACATAGAGCTTCCATATCTATCCAGAATGAAGTTCTCTAAATAAATATGGAAGTCCAAAAAAAAAAAATCTATGCACAATTGATATTCCCTCATTCCATCAAAATAAACTTAACAGCTACCACAGTTTTCTCCAAGCAAGGAGAATGTTCCATAGAGAAATTAAAACAAACAAACAAAAAAAAAGTGGCCTTATTGCAAACGAAGCTAATTAGCCTGTTATTAAAACTGTGGGGAATAAAAACATACATGAACATCCGTTCTGTCAGCAATCCACTTTGCTAGTTGTTCAGCTGCAAATCCAATTCTTTGAAGGTCAAAAGTATCAGCCCTCTTGGGTCTGCCTTTTGGAGGAAAATGCATGAATGTAGGAGCAGAGTTCATGTTCAGCTATAAAACATGAGATAAAATACTAAATTTAATACTAGCAATCTTTATCATTAATTTAACATTTTTTTTCTGCATGAATTTTGGAAAGACAGCATTTATTATGAAAATTCAAATGGCTTCCCAGAGATTTGTTACTATTTTTATTCAACTGAATAAAAAACTTGGTTAAATGCAAATATTCAGAGAACTTTGCCAAATATACATCATTCGTATTCCTAGCAGTATCCTCTATTTTCTCTCACCCATTTCATTATTTTCTTTGTAGAATTATGTAACTTAAGAATGAAGGGACTGAAAAAGCAAATTACAGGCAGTACATGACTTTCTACTTCTTAAGCAGTTATTAAAGCAAAAAGTACTGGCATTTGATAACATTTATGTTATAGAAATAATTTCAGAGATGTTGTAAGTAGATTTAATTCTTTAAGAAAAATTAAAAAAGATTAATGATGGTGACATCAACAGAAGCCAGTATTTTTCCTCTAAACACCTTGAATTTATCAGACTATAGAAATTCACAGTAGTCTTTTTCTACTTCTCCATTAACTCATGTGTTTTATGGTTATGTCTTTACCATTATCTACAGGTAACTGCCATTTGAAAAATGTACTAAGTACAACACTAACTGGTGTGGTGTTTACTAACAATATCTAAAAATATTTGGCTAATCTGCATTAAGAAGCAAGTTGTAAATTTAGAGATTAAAATTCTCCGTGCCCAGAAGTTATTAAAAAAAAAAATAGTAAAAGGCAAAGAGACTTTTACTCCTGATTTGCAATACAGTTAGCATTTCCAATGGGGAAAAAACAAATTAAATGATACATAAATTATAATCATTGAGCTTACAGTTACTTATGTTTCATTACATGTGTATTTTCCTAATAGAGGCACAAGTGAAAACTACACCCAACATAATAAATATAAGGTTACAAGGAAGGAAGTCCCCTTCACCTCACTCCCTGCACTGGAACAGTTAGGAAATTCATTCTAAGGTGTATCATTCTGTAATTTGAGTTGACAAAAATGACAAAGTACAAAGCTTTCCTCTTAATTAAAATGTATACATTCCCCAAGACTATACAATGTTGTGTAAACACAGATATGATCCCTAGTCCAGAGCTCCTGCTAACACACCATATTCATTAACCCATCGGCCCGTAGTGAGGCACTTAGATTCTGTGGGGAATTACATATAATTGAAGTTACTTTCCCAATAAGCCAGGAATTATAGGTTTCCAAACATGTTAACATTATGGTCAAAACACCCTACTATTGCTGACAGTGCTTTAAAATATCAGGTTATAAAGACTTCTTCAAATAAGGTTCAATAGTAGTGAGAAAAAATAAAAACAATGAAAATCTTCTAGTAGCTTTCAAGAAGAATATATACTGATGATTTGAGATTATAATTCCTGTAAAAATAATTAACTGCTATAATTTCTATGCATTTTTGCATTTTAAAATGAAAACTTATATTGCTAAGCCAGGGGCTAGGTTCTAGAAAAAAGGAAAAAGCAGTTCTATACACAGAATTCTGCTGAATAGAAATCAACAGGAAAGTTTTTCAATTAAAAACAATTTCGACTTCAACTCTCATATCTAGACATAAAAAACGGTTAACCCCTTAAGTTTTGCTTAAAGTACATAAAGGAATTTACTGATTATATCTAACAATGACAGCCTATCTCCACACTTAGCACAAAGATATTAGTTTGTCCCTCACAGTTTTGCTTTAAATTTGCTGCTAATATTTTAAGATATATTTCATGTTAAATTCCTGCTTGGGTCTCTTCTAGTAAACAGAGCTGCCTACTTGCCATGTGTCATTTCTTCAGAGACAGTCAAGCTGTATCTCTTTCACTGAAGTCAATCCTCTCCAGTTTGCTATAATCCCACCCACATTATACTGTCCCCTTAGCAATAAGATCAAGGGTCAGATTCATGGTATTGCTGACTTATTTCTTTTATATATTTCTCTTTTCTCATTACTACAAGTATTTCCATATAAAATGCTTTTAAGGACTTTGTTTCCATAAAAATAGGACACAAAGCATGTTTACTTATGTGTTTAAGATAGTAAATATAGACATTACCACAATGAAATCAATCTAACATGTTTTCTTTGTTTACTTTATAGGGCCGGCCAGGTAGATGCTTGGGTTTGAAGCCTCTGCTCTAAGCAGTCAAAATGGCCTAGATGAATATTTCTTAATATGGAAGAGAAAATTCAAGATAGAATCAATAGCATTTCCACCTGATGATCTCTAAAGTCAATTCTTCTAAGATTCTATAGAGAGCTATAGGTTATAAGTAATAGCATTTTGTACTGACAGTAGTGTAATTTTCCTTTATAAAATTATTTGAAATTATAAATTTGTTTTTTATTATATTACTATTATTAGCTTATCACTTTATGGGGCAAAATTTTATGCTTTTCTCATCAATTCCTCATTCCCACAGAGTAGGGACTCAATAATTGCTGTAACATCCCAAAAGTGCAATGAAAATTTATGGGGGAAGAAATATGTGAGGAATAATAATGGGAAAAACCAAGGGTAAAGGGTGCTGAAGGCAAAAGAGAATTCATCTTATTCACCTAGAAACTGGCAAAGATGAATGAATAATCAATATGGAAGCAAATAAGCAAAAATATTCACTAATGGCCAATTTACAATTAGCTCTCTGGATTCTTTACAGAATTAAATGTTTTTCCATGACCTGCCAAAGAGTTTCACATGAGAGAAAAATAAAGATCAAGATACTCAAATTAATCAATGCCAGGTATGGTAATGTCTTGCAACTGAAAGGCACTGATCAAGCAATTATAAAAAGTTTATTAACTGCTAGAATTCTGGGAATCAGAATTCAAATTCTGGTTCTAAATTACACTAAGGTTGTATTCTTGGACAAATGACTATACCATAATTTCCCCATCTGTGAAAGTGAGATAAGAATCTCATTGGATTGTTATAAAACTAAATGAAAGAATACACATCAAGCAGAAACAAATACTGAAGGGTTTCATTCATATATGGAATATAGAGAAACAAAGGGTTAGAGAAAACCAAACAAATAACAAGCCCTAGAAATCTGACTGTAGAATTGAAGCTACAGCAGGAAAGGGCAGAGACCAAAGTTGGGAGAGGCACAATGGGCAATGAAGTGATGGGTGTAGTGTAATAACATCCAGCTGAAGTGTAAGAGCCTATACCTCGTAATCACACATAATGTTATAAACTAATATTACCTCAAAAAAAATGCACATCAAATGCTTAGAACATAAGTAACATCTTTACACCACAATTCAATACCTGGTTCTATAGAAAAAACTTTGTAAATTAATGCAGCAGTTGCTGTAACAGAACTGGATAGTTTAGAGATACAAGTAGAGTTAGTTTCTAGTACAGTATTCCTTTTTGGTTTGTAGATAGTTATCTTCTCACAGCATTTTTACATGTCTTTTCTCTGTGTACATATAGTGCTAGTGTCTCTAGCTATAAAAACACTAGCCATATTATATTAGGGCCTCATCTTTATGACCCCATTTAACCTAAATTACCTCCAGAGGCCTTATCTCCAGATATAGTATAGTCACATTGGGGGCTTATGGCTTCAGGGTATCAATTTTGGAGGGAAACAATTCAGTTCACAAAGGGAACATCTTTAAATATGTACATATAAAATTATATTTGCAACAATGTAAGAAGTACAGGCTGAATGAAACAAATTAAATTCATAAATGTGTGCAAAATATCAAATGATAATGCATACAAACTGCAACTGTATGCTAAAAACATTTCCTGGAATGCAAAAATTTTAAATGTGTTAACTCCACTCACTAATGGTCAAAACTGCAATGATAAAGATAACTAGTATAAATTGTTTTAACTAAGTACTCAGAGTATTATTAACATTTAGTGCATTGTATTTTTGCAAACAAAAATGTATCAACCAACTATTAGCAAAATAAACTATCACTCTTACCTGTTGAAAAACATCTGTCCCTTCATCATAGTCCACCATACTAAAGAAGAGTTTGTTACAGAAAGCAGATGAATAGCGCCAAGAGTTAGCCAGTATTTGATATTCTTCATTAGCCTGCCTGGTAAGGGTAATGGGAGAGGGTAAAAACACATCAGGATTCAAGCATTAACAAAGGTGTTAATAAAACAGATAATTCGAGGCCAAGGGTTGGCCAATTTCTGTCTGACCGCAAGCTAAGAAAATATTTTGTATTTTTAAATGTTTGTTAAAAAAAATTCATGACATGTATAAATCAAGTTTTATTGTTCATAATAAAGATTTCACAGCATTACAGCCCCATTTGTTTACATACTGTTGACAGTTGCCATTGAGCTTTTTAAGGGCAGAGCCGAGTAGCTGTAACAAAATATATGGTCCAAAAGCCTAGGCTAGCCCTTTAAATACAAAGTTGGACAACTCTTATTCTATGAGAGAAATCATTTTGTGCCATATCCTAGACATGTAATTTAAATCCTGTGGTGATATTTAAGCATATGGTAATTCTAGTATTTGTGATTCAGATAATCAGTGAAAAATAGATTTTAAAATTATTAATATAATTCTACATTTTCATACATCTAAATTTGTATTTGCATTCAAACCTAAAAGAAAGCAAAAAATTCTTGATTAGCTAAATAAACCAAGTGCACAAACCAAGTCCTCTTCTAAAACCATACTTACTACCATATTGATTTCATTTCTATTGTATGTTTGGTTGTCTTAGAAGATAATAGTTATTTAGCTATACAGATGGAGTAGAAACAGAAATGGCATTGATGGAAGGATACAGGAACAGTCATGATAACAAGAAGCAACAGTGATTGCTAACTCATTAAAAAAGAATGTTTATTTAGTTGACTATTCATAGTTTAGGTATAATCTCACAATAACAAAAATACTTGGAGTACAGTCATCAGCACATAAGAGATTTGAAGAAATACCAGAAAGCAGCTAGTTGAAATGTTTTGATGGAGGAAGCTACAGCCTAAGATGAAGCTGTAGTGCAAAAATACTAGGAAAAAATACTAGATTAAAAGTAGCAGAAATGTTCAGAGTATGTTCTGAGAGTTTTAGCTTATATACAAGCTAGTCTTTAACTGTTTCATGGATGCTGCTAGAAGACCTGGCATTCCTGGGTCAGAAACAATGGAAGTTGTTACCTCATATTTGTTTGCATCAGTTCTCCATGCCTCCAAGTCTGATTGACACAAAAGGTTCTTTGTGCACAGGAACACTGAGTTTGAGGTCCTTCTTAATAAAATGTAAATGATAACAATTGCGTGCTTTATTCGGTGGGAAACATGCTCTCACTACTTAAATGTGTCACCACACACACAAGCATGAGAAACTGACCAGATAAAAAGCAGTCAGGTCTTTGCATTCTAGACACACCCAGCAGAAACACACAGGGATGCTCAGGCCAATGACCAACCACTTCTCCCAACACAAGTTAAATATACCATCATATTAAAGAGAAATAAAAGAGAGCACTTTTAAATTTAAAATGCTTCCTTAAACATTAGAAGGGTTAAGTAAAATTCACAGAAAAAAGACACAGGTCGAATGTATTGAGAAAAGAATGAAAGGTACCTAGAAATATAGCCCAAGCCAACTTTCAAACAGAAGGTGGTCCAGAAAAAGAGATGAAGGAAATTGTTTCCAAGTTTATTTCCTAGATTCTGACTAGAGGAATAAGAAAAAACTAACTTTCAGAATACTATAGATAAAATATCCTAAAACTTTCAGAGAAAAGGGCCTTCTAAGTGGCGCAGCGGTTGAGCGCTGGACTGCAAAGCTGCCCGCAGCCTCTGCAGCAGTGGTTCGATGCCTGGCTCCAGGCTAGGGTCCCACATGGCGCGACAGACCTCTCCTGCTGCGCCCTCTGCTCCCCTCAGTGTACTTCGTCAGTCTGCCTGTTCTGCTTCCTGCTCTGGCTCTGGTGAATTCTCTCACCCTCCCATGCTTCTGACTGTACTCAGTGCTTGTATAAATAAAAAAATAAATCTCTAAAAAAAAAATAAAAACTTTCAGAGAAAAAAATATGTAACATGGGCAGACAAATGGGGTTGAACTAGTCATTGACAACACTGGATAGAACAATTCCATTAGAATGCTGAAGGTTTTTTTTTTTCCATGTAGAATTCTGTATCCAGCCAAATAATCACTTAGGTTTGAAATAAACATATTCTCAGTGATGTAGGAATAAAAAATTACCTTTTGATAAAGTGATAAAAATATGGAGAGAAAAATGAGAAAACCTCAAAGTATGGTGGAAGCACAGGAAGAAAGGAAAAGGACAATTAGATATATAAAGTAAGGTAGGGAGGGAAGATGCTGATTAAAAAAAGCTGTGACCCAACTATGACGTTATAAAGTACACATTAGAACAGGAATTAAATGGACTTGAATATGAAGACAAGGGATTCTAAGCAACCATTAGAATAGAAAAGAGTTGGAAGAAATTCAGACAACAGTAAGACATATTTGGCCCCATAGCAGGAAAAACAACAAAATGAATACAAGGTCTACACAGGAAGCAAATTAAAAATGTACCATAAGTTTGATTAATTGGTGATAAGGTTAATTATTATGAACATTTTCTTACGAATGGGGCTGGAGTCAAAAATAATGAGTAGAAAAGGAACCATTTCATAACCAACTACTTTGTATTCACTGCTACTTATAAAATAATAGCATAAATACTGTTTAGCTTATTATCTTTCATCTTTCTCAATGAACCTATAGACAGACACCAATGCAATTAAGATCAAAGGAGAGAATGTAAATGCTATCAATTATGACAACATGACAAGGAAGAAGTACAGTTAATAAGATATGGTAGATAAAATGGAAGTGACTGAAGCATGCTTGCTAGTCTTCAAGTTATAAATTAGTGAATCAAGAAATACCATTAATAGTTAATAGAAAATAAGTAGAATACTATATACTATTAAGTAATTTACAAAAAAGCAAGCAATAAGAGGTGAGATAAGTTAAATCCTCACCTGTCACAGCAATATATGTAAAGATCACGTCTACTGTATGAAATGCTGTTAAAAGAATAACACTGAGACATGGGGGTAAAAAAGACACCAAAAGAAAAAAACACAAAGCAGTAAAAGAGGTTGCCTATGGCCTAAAAGTCTGCAAAAACAATGAGTGGAAGGGCAAGGGATTATAATTGTTCATTTTAGACCCTCTCCTGTCTTTAATAAGAAACACACTATATCGCTATGATTGGAAAATAATTTTAAGAGGGCTACATATGAATACAGTTAACAAGACTGAAATCATTTAACAAGATCTTAGGGGTCTCATTACAGTAGATCAATCAGTTTATTATAGCACCATATAAAAAACCAGTTCATTGTAATGATTAGTCTAAGACTGCATTATACTCAGTAGACAGAAAATAAGACAGTATATGTCAACGAAAATGGTGACAAATTTTTAAAACACTAGTGGCTAAAAAAATTCATTCACTATAACTAAAAAACTATCAACTACTAGCTAGAAGTGAGCTAATCTCTAAGGTCTCTGCTCAAGTGGAGTAGAACTTTTAATAGGGAGATACAATAAACAATCAAATAAAAAAATAAATAAAAGCTACTAAAAATAGAATGTCATTAGAGAAAATAGTGGACAATCTATTTAGATTGTCTAGTTATAAAAGGTTTCTCAGAAGCAGTGATTCTAAAGCCCAAATACAAGGATGAGAAAAACTGAACATATTCAAGTTTGAGAATAACTAAAAATAATATATCAGGAAGCAAGAATAGCAAGAACAATGACCTAAAAAGGGAAAGAATTTAAGAATCTAACAAAATGATGATATGGTATTGAGAACATGCCTCCCTTTTTAACAAAGGAATACACACAAAATATAGCATATGCCCTTCCTCATTTATTTAAAATAGCATCTCACTGCATCTCTTCCAATCCCAACATAAAAACAAAGTTAAAACAAATATGTGTTTTAAAATCTAGTTTGATTTTTGTCATATGGAATATTGTAAAACAGGTTACCCTGTTATCTGAAAGTAGAACATCACTATTTGGTATGATGGTAGTTTATTTTTGAAGTCTACGATAAATCAAAGCATTTCCATATAAATTAGTGGTAATAACATTACCAGACCTAAAAAATAACTTACCAAATTATACCAAAAAGGCAATGTTCTACTTTTGGATAGTGAAAATCTGTACTACTGGTTATTATTCATTAGTTGTCAAAGAAAAAAAATGTATGATTCCCCACAGAGAATTGGCACTGACAAGAATGCATGAACACTTCTGCAAATAATAAAGTTTAAGAGGCCAGTTACCTTAAAAAAAAATCATTGAAAAAATGGCATTATAATTAATATAATAGTATTTATTTATTACACAAAAGAACATTTCATGTTTGAAAATAAAATTTAGGTAAATAGCATATCAGAAATTGGTCATTCTTGGGATATCCTAATAAATGAAAAGGCTTCCTTCTGAAAAATATGCAGAAAGAAAATCACACTTTACTATTCAACATCTTTGTATATTATCCTATAAAATGACAAAGATGATGTTGAATTTCTTTCTCTTTTGTTATAACCTAGCCCAGACTTACTAGACTCTAAGTATATATTCATGCAATATTAATTCACTTTACAAATAGATACTAATGGCAATATGTCAGGTAATGCAGGCATGAATAATAAGCAAAAGGTCCCTGATCTCAAGGAGCTTACATTTGAGTTAAGAGAGGCCTCATAAAAGTAAGCACAAATTCCCTTAAATACCCTGAAGAAAATAAAACAAGGGAATGTGATAAACAGTACAGAGGAGTCAATGACGATGAATTCACTTTACCTTCAAACTCCATATTCCACTGTTTCAGTTTAATTTCCTAATAATCAGCTGTAGGTTTCATTCTGTTTCAAAGTCTTAAAAAGTTTCCCACTGCCCAAATAATGAAGACAATGGGCAGAATAGTAGACATCATCATCCATATTCTGGACACTTCTAACTATAATCTATTTCTGTCTGAACATACCATACTCAAAGGGTCTTTACTTTATGAAATCCCATGTTCCAAACATG